CCGCTTTTTTGTGTTCTCCATTTGCTTGGTAAATCTTCCTCCATCCCTTTATTTTGAGCCTATGTATGTCTCTGCGTGTGAGATGGGTCTCCTGAATACAGCAGACTGATGGGTCTTGACTCTTTATCCAGTTTGCCAGTCTGTGTCTTTTAATTGGAGCATTTAGTCCATTTACATTTAAGGTTAAGATTGTTATGTGTGAACTTGATCCTGCCATTATGATATTAACTGGTTATTTTGCTCGTTAGTTGATGCAGTTTCTTCCTAGCCTTGATGGTCTTTACATTTTGGCATGTTTTTGCAATGGCTGGTACCGGTTGTTCCTTTCCATGTTTAGTGCTTCCTTCAGGGTCTCTTGTAAGGCAGGCCTAGTGGTGACAAAATCTCTAAGCATTTGCTTATCTGTAAAGGATTTTATTTCTCCACTTATGAAACTTAGTTTGGCTGGATATAAAATTCTGGGTTTAAAATTCTTTTCTTTAAGAACGTTGAATATTGGCCCCCACTCTCTTCTGGCTTGAAGAGTTTCTGCTGAGAGATCTGCTGTTAGTCTGATGGGCTTCCCTTTGTGGGTAACCCGACCTTTCTCTCTGGCTGCCCTTAAGATTTTTTCCTTCATTTCAACTTTGGTGAATCTGGCAATTATGTGTCTTGGAGTTGCTCTTCTCGAGGAGTATCTTTGTGGCGTTCTCTGTATTTCCTGGATTTGAATGTTGGCCTGCCCTACTAGGTTGGGGAAGTTCTCCTGGATGATATCCTGAAGAGTGTTTTCCAACTTGGTTCCATTTTCCCCGTCACTTTCAGGCACCCCAATCAGACGTAGATTTGGTCTTTTTACATAATCCCATACTTCTTGCAGGCTTTGTTCATTTCTTTTTCTTCTTTTTTCTTTTGGTTTCTCTTCTCGCTTCATTTCATTCATTTGATCCTCCATCGCTGACATTCTTTCTTCCAGTTGATCGAGACGGTTACTGAAGCTTGTGCATTTGTCACGTATTTCTCGTGCCATGGTTTTCGTCTCTTTCATTTCGTTTGTGAGCTTCTCTGCATTAATTACTCTAGCCATCAATTCTTCCACTTTTTTTTCAAGATTTTTAGTTTCTTTGCGCTGGGTACGTAATTCCTCCTTTAGCTCTGAGAAATTTGATGGACTGAAGCCTTCTTCTCTCATCTCGTCGAAGTCATTCTCCGTCCAGCTTTGATCCGTTGCTGGCGATGAGCTGCGCTCCTTTGCCGGGGGAGATGCGCTCTTATTTTTTGAATTTCCAGCTTTTCTGCCCTGCTTTTTCCCCATCTTTGTGGTTTTATCTGCCGCTGGTCTTTGATGATGGTGATGTACTGATGGGGTTTTGGTGTAGGTGTCCTTCCTGTTTGATAGCTTTCCTTCTAACAGTCAGGATCCTCAGCTGTAGGTTGTAGCTGTAGGAGATTGCTTGAGGTCCACTCCAGACCCTGTTTGCCTGGGTATCAGCAGCAGAGGCTCAGTTGAAAATGCAGAAATCGCCGGTCTTCTGTGTCGCTCGCGCTGGGAGTTGGAGACTGGAGCTGTTCCTATTTGGCCATCTTGCTCCGCCCCCCCATGTGCCACATTTTCTTAATCCAGTCTGTCACTGATGGACATCTGGGTTGATTCCAAGTCTTTGCTATTGTGCAACAGTGCTGCAATAAACATACACGTACATGTGTCTTTATAGCAGCATGACTTATAATCCTTTGGGTATATCCCCAGTAATGGGATGGCTGGGTCAAACGGTATTTCTAGTTCTAGATCCTTGAGGAATTGCCACAATGTCTTCCACAATGGTTGAACTAGTTTACAGTCCCACCAACAGTGTAACAGTGTTCCTATTTCTCCACATCCTCTGCAGCACCTGTTGTTTCCTGATTTTTTAATGATTGCCATTCTAACTGGTGTGAGATGTTATCTCATTGTGGTTTTGATTTGCATTTCTCTGATGGCCAGTGATGATGAGCATTTTTTCATGTGTCTGTTGGCTGTATAAATGTCTTTTTTTGAGAAGTATCTGTTCATAACCTTTGCCCAGTTTTTGATGGGGTTGTTTGCTTTTTTCTTGTAAATTTGATTGAGTTCTTTATAGGTTCTGGATATTAGCCCTTGTCAGATGAATAGATTGCAAAAATTTTCTCCCATTCTGTAGGTTTACTGTTCACTCTGATGGCAGTTTCTTTTGCTGCACAGAAGCTGTTTAGTTTAATTAGATCCCATTTGTCAATTTTGGCTTTTGTTGCTGTTGCTTTTGGTGTTTTAGACACGAAGTCCTTGCCCATGCCTATATCTTGAATGGTATTACCTAGGTTTTCTTCTAGGGTTTTTATGGTTTTAGGTCTAACATTTAAGTCCCTAATCCATCTTGAATTAATTTTCGTATAAGGAGTAAGGAAAGGATCCAGTTTCAGCTTTCTACTTATGGCTAGCCAATTTTCCCAGAACCATTTATTAAACAGGGAATCCTTTCCCCATTTCTTGTTTTTGTCAGGTTTGTCAAAGATCAGATGGTTGTAGATGTGTGGTATTATTTCTGAGGGCTCTGTTCTGTTCCATTGGTCTATATATCTGTTTTGGTACCAGTACCATGCTGTTTTGGTTACTGTAGCCTTGTAGTAGAGTTTGAAGTCAGGTAGTGTGATGCCTCCAGCTTTGTTCTTTTGGCTTAGGGTTTTGGCAATGTGGGGTCTTTTTTGGTTCCATATGAACTTTAAAGCACTTTTTTCCAATTCTGTGAAGAAAGTCATTGGTAGCTTAATGGGGATCGCGCTGATTCTATACATTACCTTGGGCAGTATGGCCATTTTCACAATATTGATTTTTCCTATCCATGAGCAGGGTATGTTGTTCCATTTGTTTGTGTCCTCTTTTATTTCACTGAGCAGTGGTTTGTAGTTCTCCTTGAAGAGGTCCTTTACATCTCTTGTAAGTTGGATTCCTAGGTATTTTATTCTCTTTGAAGCTATTGTGAATGGGAGTTCATTCATGATTTGACTCTCTCTTTGTCTGTTACTGGTGTATAAGAATGCTTGTGATTTTTGCACATTGATTTTGTATCCTGAGACTTTGCTAAAGTTATTTACCAGCTTAAGGAGATTTTGGGCTGAGACAATGGGGTTTTCTAAATATACAATCACGTCATCTGCAAACAGGGACAATTTGACTTCTTCTTTTCCTAACTGAATACCCTTGATTTCTTTCTCTCGCCTGATTGCCCTAGCCAGAACTTCCAATGCTATGTTGAACAGGAGTGGTGAGAGAGCCATTTTTTTTAGTATTATGAATAATGCCTCTGAGAAGATTCATGTACAAGTCTTTGTGTGGACATATGCTTTTATTTCTCATGGATTGATACCAAAGGGTGAAAATTCTAGGTTGAATGGTCAGCATATGTTTAACTTCTTAAGAAAATGACAAAATGTCTGCCAAAGTAGCTGTACCTTTCTGTGTTCCCACCAGCAATGTATGGCTGTTCTGGTTGTTCCACATCCTCATCAACATTTGGTATTGTCAGTATTTTTCATTTTAGCTATCCTATCATTTGTTTTAATAGTCTAGTTAACTCACTTTGATTTTCTAAATATATAATATCATATGTAAGTAGTAATAATTCTTTTTCTTACTGCCCTGTTCTAGAACCTCTAAACCACTAGAAAATAATATCTATAATTACAGACATCCTTGACTTGATTTTTTAACAATTAAGCTACTAATATTTTATTGTTAGGATCTTACTGTATTTGCAGTTAGTCACATTAGGAAATATCCTATTTTTAGTAAGAGAGTTTTTTTTTTAATCACAAGATACTGAGTTTTTATCAAGTGTAATTCAGCATCTAAAAAATCAAATGTTTTTTCTACTTTGGTTTCCTGATGCAACGAACTAAATTAATACATTTCCTAATGTTGAATCATCCTTATCTTTGTGAAACAAACTCTAATCGGGGTTTGTTTTGATATACGGTGTGGGTTTCTTCTGTTACATGACTATTTGGTTCCATGGGATATGTTAGTAATTATTTCTAGGGGAAAATAAAAACGTTAATCCTCAATTTCTTCATATGTAAAATAGGGATAAAATACATAGAGATACAGAGAAAGATGGGTAAAGGAACTGTTAGGAAGATTGAATGAGATAATGCCCATAGTTGCTCAATAAGTGAAGGAAGTAAAGGTTTCAATCCAGGTCAGTATCGTCCTTGAGACCACTATCCTCTGTTTTATCTGTTATTAAGAGAAGGCTATCCATTGAGATGGACTCTCGCTCTGTCAGCCAGGCTGGAATGCAGTGGCATGATCTTGGCTCACTGCAACCTCCGCCTCTCAGGTTCAAGTGAGTCTCCTGCCTCAGCCTCCTGAGTGGCTGGGATTACAGGAACCCACCACCAGTCTGGCTAATTTTTTTGTATTTTTAGTAGAGATGGGGTTTCACTATGTTGGCCAGGCTGGTTTCAAACTCCTGAGCTCAAGTGATCCGCCTGCCTCGGCCTCCCAAAGTGCTAGGATTATAGGCGTGAGCCACCATGCCCGGCTGCTTTTTTTTTTTTTTTTTTTTGAGACAGAGTCTCACTGCTGCCCAGGCTGGAGTACAGTGGCATGATCTTGGCTCACTGCAAGCTCCGCCTCCCGGGTTCACGCCATTCTACTGCCTCAGCCTCCCAAGTAGCTGGGACTACAGGTGCTCGCCACCACGGCTAATTTGTGTTCGTATTTTTTTAGTAGAGACAGGGTTTCACTATGTTAGCCAGGATGGTCTCGATCTCCAGACCTCATGATCCACCCGCCTTGGCCTCCCAAAGTGCTGGAATTATAGGCGTGAGCCACCAAGTCCGGCCGCCTGACTGCTTTTTAACAATCTTTTTATAACAATTTAACAAACTAGTAATTTAGTAGAGCTAAAGATTTATGGGTTTTTAATGCTGAAATGATGAATTCTCCTCCTTAAAGAACTAAAAGTAATTATTCAAATCTGGACAAGAAGAAGTTAGCCTACCTGAGTATGACTGATTGTTATATGGTTGCCATGAAGAGGTGACTGGCGATCTTTCTCCTTACTGTGACGACTACTCTGTTTACTGCGTTGTAGTTGCTGCCTCAGTTTGGCAATCTGCTTTGGGGGCAGGGAAAGAGAAGCAAGAAGAGAATAAAAGTGAATACCAAATTTTTATATTTATTTCTTCAGTTTTGGGGTATTGATTAAAAAAATTTCAAGTTTCTAAGAAGAGACAGTATTTCACCACAATGATTTACCCTTGCAAGTTTTTAGGATTAAGATTATTAAAAATGAGAAATAAATATATACTACAAATGCCTCACTTTTACAAATTTTAATAGTGTTATTGGTAAATACGCTAACTACATTTACCCAGATTATTTCAGATTTTACCTTTGTAACACCAGAAATATCTTCCTATTTTAAAACCTTTTATAAGATGAAAAATAGTATTTCAAATGCCTACTGATTAAAGTCAAACCTGAATTCTAAACATAGGCACATTAGTTTCTAAGTTCCTGTCTTACATAAACAAAATGGATCTGGTTTATCAATTACTAAACACTTTAAAATTGTAAATCCCATGATGTTGTGGAGAATCAAAGCTATTTAGTATTAGTAAATTATTAATATATTACTATATATATTGCTCTTCAATCACAAAACCTATAAAAACAAATATAATTTAGGGTATATTCTCCTAAAAGGAAGGTTCACACTTCCCTGGTTTCACAGAAAAGTCATTACTATAATATGACCTGGAATTCATTAAACTACTTACATATTTTAGGTGATGTAAAAAAATTTCTGAGTATTTTAAAGGAAACCATTAACAATTTGGGGGAAGTCATTTAATATTGGTACTATTTTCCTTGTAGAAAAGATGATGTTAATCAATTAATAATTATTCCCAGAACATCTACGATGAGCCCAGAGAGATACAACAAAGATACAATGTATTACAAAATTATCTAAATATTTACCTTGAATAACTATGGCAATATAAAGCACAATAGAAAATTACTATTAAAGCCTATAAATGCTCAAGGGTAAAAGTATATAGGTTGCTGAGAAAACTAATGTTTACCGGTGGTTAACAGTAGAAGAGAAAACAATATAGAAGAAAATGAAGCACCCAAACAAGGAAGAATTTATATCCTTTCTTTTATGCTGAGATCTTTAGATCCCTTTACGTTTTTTAAAGCTCTATGTAGCTTATGGATCTCTCATAAAATGTGCTTGCAAAAGATGTACAAATAAGATTATGTTAATATTTGTGTTCCTTCCTCTCTGTTGAACTGACATAATTTTCTTGCAGAGAACATTAATTTTCATAAGAAAATGATCAAAATTTGTAGGTAATTAATATAAATCAAGACCGATAATTCTCTATGATAAAAAAGAAATAGGATTTCAAATTGTACAATTCATTTAATTAGGACAGAGGTATAAAAGCAAAACCAGAAAAGCTTACATGAAAGAGCTCAGAATGCCTAGAGATTAATAATATAATTTGTACTCGCTCATTTAAAAAATATTTAAAAACCTTAAAATTGATAAATATTAGTCAACCTATTTTTTCAAGGCTTCTGAGATGTCAAAATGAGCCAGAAAAGTTTTGTTCTAAGCCGACTTAACAAACCCTTGAAGACGAAAAGCCTACATCATGCTACAAACCTTACTTCACTTAGATTACTAACCTAAATAATACAATCCTACAGCTTTTCACATGTACTGTGAATTCCAAAGACAGACCTTCTTTGGGATATAGCATAGTTATGCTCGTGTTTACAATTCAGTGGGAATTAGGATAAAAGTCCATCTTCCTAAATATATATTATATACTTGGCATATTTCAAATTCTAGTCAAGAAGTATGTGAGAAGCCTTCTTTCAACTTGAAACAGGTCCCAATTACACTAGCTCCAAGGTTTTAAAAAGTTAGGGAATAAGTCAGCTGGGTGCAGTGGCTCACACCTGTAATCCCAGCACTCTGAGAGGCCAAGGTGGGTGGATCAGGAGTTCAAGACCAGCCTGGCCAACATGGTGAAATCCTGTCTCTGCTAAAAAAAAATACAAAAATTAGCCAGACGTGGTGGTGTGGGCCTGTAATCCCAGCTACTTGGGAGACTGAAGCAAAAGAATTGCTTGAACCTGGGAGGGGGAGGTTGCAGTGAGCCAAGATCCCACCACTGCACTCCAACCTGGCCAACAGTGCGAGACTCTGTCTCAAAAAAAAAAAAAAAAAAAAAAAAAACCCATGAAAAAGTTAGGAAACACGTGATCCTGGGTCACAAGGAATAAATAATAACTATATAGAGAGAAATTAGCATAGTCACAAAGAAAAGATTAAAGCATTTATGAAATTAAATGAAGAAAAACCAGAAACTGGCCTTACTTAACATCTGAGAACCAGAAACACATTTTTGAAAACTTAGTAACATCAGCTCTGTTTACTTGCTATTTTTGTCCTGTTTATTTCCCCCACTACTGTTAACATTTAAAAAAATAAATAAATAAAAAATACAAAACCAAAACCCTCATCCTCAAAAGACTGGTTGAGCACTTTTGCCTCAAGGACTGAAGAAGACAGAAATCTTTCTCAGAAAGAATTATATTCCACCATAGAGCAGGGAAATGGGAAATCTTAACTTAAAAGGATTAAGTGATGGCAGTGAGAAAGGAAGCAGGATTTGGGGGCTTTGGGAAGAGAAGAAAAAAAGAAGGGAGCTAGCCTAAAACCAGGAAAAATGTTATAGGTTATCACTAGGCAAGAGACCTGGTGTCCTCAGTTCATCCTTCTTATCCACAGGTACCACTGCACCATGATACAAGCACAACCATCATAGGTAGCTGGAAAGAGAAGTAATCCTTATTTCTAGTGTTAGGACAATGTGGGAAGTATGCCACTGCTACCCTAAGACAGACCACTAAACAATATTTGCTATAGAAAGACCACCCATTACATACAGTGGTTAAGGTCTCTCTATCGCACTACTATAGGTTGGTTTATAAACCAAGATTCCACAGAACAGTGTTTCAGTGGGAAAAATACATCCTGGGTGTGAGACATCTAACTGATAACCAAACTTTTAAGACATAAACAACTCAAAACTAGGAAATTAATCTTGGAAGTTAGCTTCCCACAACTTAAGAACAACCTTTTGAAAAGAGAAAATCCAATACATAAACTATAATAATTTGTATTCAATAGTTAGAAACTCTGAATATTTAAAGATAACCTGCCCTAGGGTGCCATCTTTGGTTTGCAGTTTGAGTGTTAAGCAAGCATTAAGGCACCAGACTGAGGGGTAAATTCAGGCCAGACCAAGCTCTACTCAGCAAGCTGTAGCCTTAGCAGAATACTCAGGCTGCCTGAGAGAAGACTTTTCCTTCACTAAAAGACACTGCCCTTTAAAAAAAAGAAAAATCTTATGCTAGTGGGGCTGCATCTACTTAGAGGGAGTGTTTTTATCTAATTCACACAAAGGTGACCTATAGGGTAGCACCTGTCCAGAACATGGTGACTAAAGCTAAAATCCTATTTAACAGGAACCAAAAGTAATAACTAAAATTCTTTTCATCTTTGAAAAAGAAGGCAGACAGACCATTAGAATAAAAAGGCAGACCATATACTGGGAAAAGATATTTACAACATATATATCCAATGAAGAATTCATATCCACAATATGTAAAGAACACCTACAAAGCAATAAGAAAAAGTCTAAGAGTAGGCAAAAGACTTGAACAGGTACTTAGCCAAAGAGAATATCCAAATGGTCAGTATGCATAAAAAAGGTGCTCAACATCATTCTAATGAGGGAAATATAAATTAATGCCCATCATAATGTCGAAACTTAAAAGATGACAAAACCAAAAAATGACAAAGACATCAAACAACTGGAACTCTCCTTCCATTGCTGGTGGTGAAGGGTGTTCTTTTATTTTAACATAGTAGCCTTGACCACAGAAGATTTTCTGGGGAAGTGCTTATATCCTCAATACTAGGTCACTCAAGGTAATAGGTCAAGAGCAGAAAGCAGAGACCTGACTCAAATTAGGCAAAAATTCTTAGTTCAGTTACCTGGATGGAGAAATGAATGACATGTCCAAGGCTGTAATTAGGTTCTAATGTTCTTAGTAGGAAACAGTACTAACAGAAGAGAGAATCATGCTGATTACTGAAGAGGGCTGGGGAGCTATGCTTCCTGCCTTGCATGGCAAAGAGGAACGAGCTATCGGAAAATAGAAGACCTCTGCAAACATACAACTATGATGTCTATTTCTGTTAATGACATTTCTAACAATTAACAGACATTAGAACACACCCTCTTCATGTAAAGGGATATTCCTATAATAGAAATTCATCCTTTGCCAAATGCAGGTAATACAATTTTAAACAAATTATAATTCAACATGCTGAAAATGCTCTGATGATGCACTTCTGCCTAAAAACATATTCTTTCTAGCAATTATTAAGAGTAATTATAGGCCAGTTTTTCTGATGACTGTGTCAATTAACAATAGAAAAGCATCATTAAAATTTTCCTATCTAATTATTTATTGAGTACCAGCATTGTAGAAGGCACTCTGCTACTTGCTTTTATGTGAATGGTCTCATTTATTTTTCAACAAAAGCACATGAGATAGGTACTATTATTATTATTATTATTATTTTAGAGGTGAAGAAATATAGGTAGAAAGGTTAAAAAAAAATCTTGCTAAAAGTCACACTATTAAGTGGTAAACAAGTGTTTGGACTCAGTAAGTGAAATTCCAGAGTCTGCTCTCTTCATCACCATTCTATACTGACTGGAGAATGAAGTTAACAACTCACAAGGAGATAAAGCTTTACAAAAATTACAGACAAATGGGAATGGAAAAGGTGACAAAGGCTGAACTGAGATAACTCCTTCCCCAAAACAATCACTGAAGATATTAACTCAAGTAATTTTTATGAAAATATAATTTGAAAAATCATAAATCTCAAGCTGTTATTCTCTTCTTTATAAAATGGGAAATATAAGACAAACTTTAATGCTTTTAAAGATCACGTGTCCCAAAAGAAAGGTCTATAGACTAGTTAAAAGCAAATTTTATATATTATATCCCTCAACA